TTTTTATAAGTGTGGGTGGGAATATTTAATTAAATATTGAATTAAACCATTAGCATAGTATCATTTTTCATGAAGGTGAAGTTATAGAGGACAAGAAATAGGAACATGGGTATTTCCCCATTTGTAGATTGAGCTGTATCAGCAGTGAATATGGAGATAGTTATCCCAAAAAGGGGTCCAGGACAATATCGTTGGAAAAATTTTTAAATTTAAAGCTATTTGGTAAACTTTTTTAAATGAAAGGTTACTGGATAAGATGAATGAATAATGGCAGAATTATTTATTTATACATAAGTATACTAACATTTTATGCGAAATCAGAGAGTGAATGGTTAAGTCACCAAGGAAATCTTGGGATGTACAGGTTTTAGTTTTACTCGTGCATGTGTGATTCAGGGCTGCTAACTTAGACTAGTTCATTTTTAGGTAATGACTGCATATTCTAAAAGCATTCCCAAGTGGCAAGTTACTCAGTAGAATTAATAAATTTAATTTTGTCAGAATTTTTTGCAACATATCCACAGACTATTGACAGTTAATATTAGAGTATCAATAATCAGTACACATTACAATATTTCCAGGGTAAAGCTTCCATATCTTCAATAATGCTATGCCATTGAATTAAACATGGAATATAGAAACTGCTATATTTATTGATAAATTTATTAGATCAGAAAGAAATATTAAAATTTTTCATCCATATAAATATATGTTCTATTTATAAAAAAAAATTGAAAAGTGAGTCAGCTACAGAAGAAGAAATAGATACAGATGTATAAAAATTGGGTAGTTTTTTGGGTGGGAAAGAAGATAACTATTGATTATAAAAAAAAAAAAAAGCTAAACAAATAAGATGAAAAGAATGAAACGGTTGTACATTTTTATAAAATGAACAACAGGAATTTGATCACGGTTAGGTGCAGATGTTAAGTCTAGAGATATTTGGATCTCATTAATATGAAATAAAACTGAAAATAAAGATGACAAAGCATAAATGGAAGAATGAGAGAGAGATAGATAGATATGAATCTATTTTTATTATTCTGTATATAAATTATTTAAAAATAAATTTGACAGTATCATTAATGAAATATGATTATCATTAATGGATTTAATTTAGAAAAAAATCAAGAATATTTTGTGAGAAACTCCAAAACATTTGGTTTTTTCAGCATAATTTTTGACTGCTGAATGAAAATAAATAATTTTTAATTACAAATGATATTATTCTTAAAAGATTTGATATTTTTAGAATGAAATGTATATAAAGAGATCTTATTTCCTAAGCATCATACATTTTCTATCAGAAATGTTTTATTGTATTCATAATAGGTTTGTAATGCTTTTGGATATTAAAGTTGGTTGACTTTTCTATGAATCATGTAAAGTAGATTGAAATCAAGATTAGAGAAGTTGCAGCCAACATTTTCAACATGAAAACGTATATGTCGGACATTCAGTGCCACCTTCCCGTAAGCCTAGAAGTTTGACAATGGCATTTGGAACATCGAGCATGATTCCACTGACATTCCAAACGCCATTGTCTAGACTTACAGGAAGGTGGTGCTGAACGTCCAACATACACGTTTTCACATTGAAAACTTTAGCTGCAACCTTGCTATTATATAAGATCAAATGGAGACGAATTTTAAATTTTATTATTTATTATAAAAGACAAATTAAATATTTCATAAAAAAAGAACATATTTTATATCAATTCATCATGTGTTGTTACAGGAGAATTGTAATAATTTTATCATTGAGATTATAATTAAGAAAGGTTTGAGAAAAACATTCCAACAGCAGGAAGTATATCAAGAAAAATAGTTTTGTTAAAAATGCAATTATAACGGATTAGAAAAAGTAATAAATACAATGCATTATTTTGCATAATATGTATTATGTATACAGTACTACATTATGTTCATTTTGAAAAATATTCATAAGTGTTTTAATTTTGCAATTAATCACTGTTTGGTTATACAATATTTTCAAGAACATTGTTATAATTTTTATAAAATAAAATATTTTATGATAAATTACAGCATTATATTTGCAATGTTACACATTTTATCATATTTAAAGGTTTCATTTGATTAATAGTATATAAAAGAAATTCAAACATATATAATCTTGTATCAATACTTTTATATATTATGCTAACAAATACTGATTAATAACAAAATGAAAGTTCATAGTAGTTTTGAGATACTGAACAGATAAAAATTTAGTTACTGTTATAATACTGCAGATACATATATTTATACTTGAATGTTTTGAGCCTTATTAACTGAATTGGCTTAACAGTTTAAATTGTGAAAAATATTCAAAGTAAAACGTTTAAATCATCTGATAAAAATTAAATTATCACTAATAAAAGTTATTAAAAATTGAAATTACAGTAGAGCCTCGATTATCTGACCCAATTGGGGACTGGGGTTGGTCGGATAACCGAAAAGTATGAAAAAATCCATTATTAGTGTAGTATATTATTAAATCCCATGTAATTAGTATATTAGTGTATCGCTATTAACCTACTTCGCGTTGAATTTTCATCGATGTTAAGCCTAACAAAAATTTTTTAAAATAATAATCGTCGCTATTGTATCGTTAAAAATTAGAAAATTAAGCCTCGTTTAAATACTGGCTCCCTTTCATGGTCGAATGAGTGTTGCCAGCTAAAACACGTAAAAATAATATTAAAGTAGCCAAGACATAGCCAAATATTGTAGCGCCACATCACTAGCGGACATTTGAAATTTGCCGACTAGGATGGTCGGTTAACCAAGGTGTCGGTTAATCGGGGGTCGGATAATCGAGGCTCTACTGTATAAAAATAAAACTAATTTAAATTGTTATTTTCATTTAAGTTTATCAAACAATTTAAATATATTATAGACACAGCTATTTAGAAATCATAATTATTCTTGAACTGGTTCTGTCAAATAGGTAAAGTACTTTTATTTAATATCAGATTGTTACCATTTGATTTCATTTCTTACTGTTATTATTTGAATGTATTTCAGATTCATGCTTTTGCAGGCTTGAAACAATAGAGCATTTTATCATGGTATGGTTATTTTTATAATTATCCTAATTATTTATTTATGAATATTTTTTATGATATTTAATTAATAACCTAATTTGAATTTTATTATATTTGATAATGAAATTTCGTACTGTATACAAATATTTTCACATTTGTTGTTTTGCTATAATCAGTATATTTCTATAAACATTATATTTTATGCAAGAAAATTGAAAAATATTTATTGAATTTGTTGCCCTGTCAAATTCCTTTTTGAAGATGATATTTACAGTGTGATATGGCTTAAAAGGTCCTCTATTATATGATTTTGAAATAAAGTAATCTTATAATAATAATAATAATAATAATAACAATAANCATATGTATCTAAGCATTATAGGGGGGTCTACTGTACATTATAGACATAGCCATTCCAAACACTCACAATGTACAAAACACATGCACTGAAAAAATTAGCAAGTACACAGAACTGGCCCAGGAAATAAGGCATCTGTGGAGGATGGATAAGGTGCTTATTGTACCTGTTGTTTTCTCTTGTACAGGTGTGATACCACACACACTACACAAAAGCCTGGGAATGTTAGAATTGAATAGAAATACATACATAACACTACAGAAGGCCCCTATATTGAATACATGCCATATTGTTAGGAAATTCCTGAATACAGACACTGACACACTTATTTAAGTTTAGTTTTATTTTGGTTGCTATGCCTTGACTCTGGTCCGGCATAGTACACAGCCACCAGTGTGAACTGAGTATAACCCATTAAACCCAATATAATAATGATTCTAATACGTGGTACGATCCAAAAGTTCGGGGACTGCAGTGATGTATGACAACCAAAGCATGTATTTAAAATTACAGCGTATGAAATGGATTCTATCAAACTACCCCTACGTATTCAGGTTGATTTCGCCCATGTAACATGATTAAACCGCGAGTACTGTTGTTTTTTTTTTTGGAGATAGTTACCTTTGTTTTGCGATGTAATAAAAATGGAGTTTCAAGAACAGCGCTGCAACATTAAATTTTGTCAGCGTTTAGGTAAAACATCTATGAAGACTTTAAAATTGCTGAGAAAGGTGTATGGTGATTCTACCATGGTGAAATCAAAGGTTTAAAGAGGGCCGAGAATCCATCGCAGATGATGAACATTCTGGCCAACCTTCGACTTCACGGAACGAGGAAAATGTTGAGTTGGTCTCTCAATTATCTAGACATTTTACGTTGTTTGAGGGAATCCATTCGTCGTAAACAGCCGCAGATCTGGCGAAGTGGAGACTGGTACTTTTTGCATGACAATGCACCTGCGCATCGGTCCCAAATGGTCACACAGTTTCTCGCCAAATCTCAAATCAATGTGCTTCCACACCCTGTCTATTCACCGGACTTAGTCCCGTGTGATTTTTATTTGTTTCCATCAATGAAAAAGCATTTGCAAGGGCACCGTTTTGTGTCATCAGATGAGGTGAGAGCAGCATCGCTGGAGGCCTTACGGGAGGTTTCAAAAAATGGCTTCCAGCAGTGCTTGCAGAAGTTATATGAGCGCTGGCAAAAGTGTATCGTTGCCCAAGGTGATTACTTTGAAGGTGGTTGTGCATCGGCAATATAAACTTTTTAAGGTAAGGAATTTTAAGCCAAGTCCCCGAACTTTTGGATCATACTACATATAATTGAAGATGTTAAAACACATTTAATTTCAAAAATATTAATAGCAATAATAACATATGTTATAATATGCTGAACATTTTTAAAACTGAACTTATGAATGTGAGTAAGAAATTAAATTAATTTTTAAATAAATAAAAGATAAATAAATTGAAATTTAATAAAAATTTTTATCTTTTTAAATTAGAAAATTCAAATTATTTTAAACATACGTATATATATATATATTTGGAAATTTTCACTTATTTGAAACTTACAAATTTAATTTTTTTTTTTCAGATGTACAGAACATAAACAAATAACTGTTTGTATCCAGTTTCCTGAAAAATATCCTATGCAGCCATTGCTTATTGAACTTAAAAGTAAATATCTTTCAGAAAGACTGTTAGATCGTTTAACAAAAATATGTGATGAAGAATGCAAAAAATATATAGAAAAACCACAGGTAAATTATTCATAATTTTTATTTATAATAAAAGTGTTTTACAATTATTATCAATTGTCACTGTTGAAAAATTTACTGAATGATAATTAATTATCTTATAATATAGTTAATAATTATTGCAATGAAAGTATATTCTCCTTAAAATANGCACAAAATGTACTACGACAGAGCCATAATCACAGATAAAACAATTTATCACAACAGACCAGACATTACACTCATTGACAAACGCAATAAAATCACATACATTATAGACATAGCCATTCCAAACACTCACAATGTACAAAACACATGCACTACAAGTACACAGAACTCACCCAGGAAATAAGGCATCTGTGGAGGATGGATAGGGTAGTTATTGTACCTGTTGTTCTCTCCTGTACAGGTGTGATACCACACACACTACATAAAAGCCTGAGAACATTACAATTGAGTAGAAATACATACATCACACTACAGAAAGCCACTATATTGAATACATGCCACATTGTTAGGAAATTCCTGAATACAGACACACATACTGATACACTTATTTAATTTTAGTTTTGTTTTGGTTGCTATGCCTTGACTCTGGTCTGGCATAGTACACAGCCACCGGTGTGAACCGAGTATAACTCACAAAACCCAACATAATAATAATAATAATAAATAAATAAATTTTAATAAATAGATAAAAATTAAAATTGTTTTCTGTGTGTTCATTCAGGGTCAAAAAAGTTCAGTCTTTAACTTTCATTACTTTTGTAATATAGTTCAGTTAATTTGTTAAAAGAAAATATTTTTTCTTACGCTATATATATACATTTTTTCTACAAATTTCAATTAATTTTCTTTTATTAATTATTTTAAAAAATTATTATTTCAGTTTATATATTGTGCATAAAATAAATTGAAAAATTGTTCTATTTGTAAATATTTACTCATTCATTCCTTTCAAACTCATGTAATTTGATGGAATTATCTTAATTTTTATGCATCTTTGTTTATATATATGCTACAAAAAATGTATATGTATATTATAATTATACTATATTTACTTCTATTGGAATTTTATTTAGACAAATTTCTGTATTTACTTCTTATTAATATAATTTGAGTAATATCATCTGTAACCTTTCAAAGAAATAATACTTTTTTATCCTTTATATTACTAAAATACTTAGATTTGAATAAAATGAGTGATTTAATCATTTATTTAATTTTGAATGTCATCATTAATATTTTAGTTATTGATGGCCGGATGGCTGAGCGGTCAAGATGGCAGCCTACCACTCTGGGGACCCAGGCTTGAATCCGAACAGGTCAAAAAATCCCCAGGAATTTTTCGGGGGTGGTCTGTTCGGATGTGTTGGGCCCCGTTCCTCACCACTCAGCAGCCCCATTGTGGGCCTGGCTGAAGCTGAATCCATAATGTGCTTACAAAAAGAGGTCCTCTTAGTGCCCACAGGGCAGAAAGAGTTAAAAAAAAAAAAAAAAAAAACNAAGGCTATTTAGCAGATATACAAAATATGATAACAATAAAAGATAACAAATAAATTATAAAAAATAATTAAGAAATGTGCCCTTAAAATAAAATTATAAGATAGCCTATTTTACAGGAAATTCAAATGGATGTAGAAAAACTTAAGAAACTTATTTTTTTACATAACAGAAAACAATAATTTTTTGTTTCAAAGAAAAGACAAAAATTGATGCAGTCACTAGTTTATACAAATATTTAATTGAAGCTTAAATCATTTAAAATTTTAGTGTGCTTTTAATAATGTATATAAATTTATCATAAAAAAAATGTAATTACTGTATTATTATAAAATTTAATACTTTTTGATGAAATGAAACCAAAATACAGTGAAAACTGCTTAGGCAACCACCTGCATTTGAAGGGCACCTGTCAAAACGGGCAAAAATTTCTGGCACGGAATAGTTTATCCATAGAGTCTTCGTATAAGTTACCTGTATTAAACAACCACCTGTGTAACACGACCGCGGGCATCGATTTTTGGTCCGAAACAACATACAACAACTGTAATAAGCAACCACTTCCGCGAATATATCTGGTCTAAATTATTGTTCAACAACGTTTTCCTCCTCCTAATATAATGAATTAGTCTAAACTCTTGTTCAAACCCATCTCAGGCACTTCTCCACCCTTGAAATTAGGTTCAGGTGTTAATGAATTAATCTAGCAACAAAGGACATTCATTTCAGTTTGTTCGAAATTGTCCGATAAATGAAAGAAATGCAAAGTGCTGTCGTTAGAAGATCGTATTAAAGTTATAACAACAGCAATTAGCGGCGAAAGTTTAACTTTTGAAAAATGAAATTTATTTTACCGTAAACCTACAGTATTTTCCTTGACGGTATAATATATTGTACATGATACAATTAATCGGCTGATCTCATCGTTTGATAAAATTTATTTTTATTTATTTATCTATTTATTTATTTTGAAGCTCATTTACAGTACATGTGCGATAAATAGTTTCTGTACAACCTACTTCTGCAACCTACCTTATTTCCCCAATATTTTAAGGAAAATAATATTCAAGTCATTTTCGCATGCAAAATATTCAAAAAACAATAAACGCATTAATGCAAAACTCAGTTTTACAGGCAACCTTCCTTTTTCGATTCCGCAATGACAATCACGGAATGTAATGAAATTAATCGTACAATGAGAAAAAATAGTAAAATCGTTTTATTATTATTTAATAATTTTTCTTATTGTACTTAAGAAAATATTAAATATTAAGAAATGCAGTATTTTTAAAGTTAAAATAAGATTAAACTAGCGAATACCAAAACCAAAGTGATGTAGAGATACAACGCGCTTGTATATCGATGANTTATTGAATATTTTCATAATTTATGTTTTTGCTATTAATGATTTGATTAAGAAAATTTCTTTTAAAGCTTATTTTGAATAAATTATAAAATTTAATAATAAATTCTTAGTTTTGTCACTAGACTTTACCATTTTAGGAAATAATTACTACTATTATAGGAATAGATTTTTTTTTATAAAATTTAATTTTTTTAATGAAAGTTTGTTTATAATGTTTTAATGCTGTTCAGAAAATTATGTATAAAATATCTATATATCTTTCATTTAGACAATGGATTTGATTGATGAAGAATTAAATGATATTAAACATCATTGTGAAGATGTAATAAAAGGCAGCAAAGTGATTTCAAGTGTAAGAGCAATGGTTAGAGTAGATATTATGTAAGTATTAACTGTGAAATAAGAATACAATTTAAAATATGCATTGTGTAACTTCGATATTCAGATTTTAGGAAATAAACCTGAAACTGTTATTTCCTGAGTAGTGATAAAGGACAAGATGAAGACACTTGGATTGTCTCTTTTAAGAATTTTTTTTATAAATTTTCTAAGTCTGTACTTACTGTCCTGGACATTTTATCAAATAAATAAATATTGACAATCAATGTAGAAAATATTTTCAACTTAGACATTATTATGGGTGTCCATTAAGATATACAAAACTTTCCTTTTGTTGACATAATTATTCTGCATAAATATTTGACTGCTTTATTATCAGTTTTTTAAAAATTTTGTCTGTCATAAAGAAAAAATAATCAGTTTGTACATTATGTTATGTGGGATTACAAATTTATTTGACTTAGCAAAATGAAAAAACTTTATGTTGGCATATTTTCTTGCTGTAAACTACTTTTGACAAGATTACTGGCATTTTCATCACAAAAATCATCAAAAATTGATTATGGTAATTTCATTAATTGCTTAATCAAATGATGACAAACCAACACAGTTGTAGAGAGACTATTAATCATTAATTTTTAAATGTTTTGCTACATTTTCTTTTATTTTTTTACTACAGAATAGTTTTAATTTACTTTCAAAAAAGAAAAAAAAAAGATAAGAATTAATATATTGTTATATATTTTTTAAAAATGAACATGTTAACATGCTGTCCTAAAAATCTATATTTATAGTTTTATTTTTATTTATATGACTGATATAATACTTTATATTAAAATTATATTCTAAATAAACTGATTTATTTTAACAAACATATTTATAATTTATATATGGCTATCATAAATTTTTATTATATAATAATAATAATAATAATTGTTAGGAAATTCCTGAATACAGACACAGACACACTTATTTAATTTTATTTCTTGGTTGCTATGCCTTGACTCTGGTTTGGCATAGTACACAGCCACTGGTGTGTACCAAGTATAACTCACTAAACCCAACATAATAATAATAACTCTCTCGTGGTCACCACCTGGTCGTGGTGGAAGAGCCCAGTAATGTTACTGAACCATAGAGCAATGCAGGCTGGAGCACAAGCTCCTGATAGGGACACCCATGCCAGTAAGGCCTATGGGGCGAAATGAAGCTAAGAGTGACCACGCCCACATTCTGTGGAGATAATTATCATGGTAGTAACCAGATCAAAGTGTGATACCGGCTCAGATGTCGCCTGGGTTAACAAGGTCTGCGTTCGTGGGTTAGGCAGAGGCTCATGTTCGAAAAATAGGCCGCAGTCTCCCTTGGTTACAGTGGCGAAAGCAGCACCGGCCCAAGCATGGCTACTGCAATGCCCTCAACAGATGTGAGGAACCAACCTAGCCTTGGTGTTTCTGTGGCAATGCATCCACAGACCACAAAGGCTGGAAAACCACGCCAACGGATGAAATGGACAACAGAAATGAACGAGTTTAT